GTATTTGTTCTTCTGCACCTGGCGTATTCTCTCAGCGTAACGTCTTGTCCCAAGGCTCCTCCTCTAAGACCAGGAACAGACAGGAAAGCCACTCTCACTACTCCGTCCAACACAGTACTGGAGACCCTTGCCATCTGGCAAGAAAAACAAATAAAAGACATCCCAGTGGGAAAGGCAGAGGTGAAACTGCCGCTCTGCTGACGACGTGGTCTCGTGGGCAGAAAACCCTAAAGGCTTACAACACAGAACTGACGAGTGAATCAGTAAGGCTGCAGGGAACACAACCGACACAAAAGTCAGCACTGTTTCTATAAGTCAGCAAGGAACTATATAAAAAATAAATGTCCAATAGCATCAAAAAACACTTAGGAGTGCATTAAACCAAGGAAGTGAAAGACCTTGACACCAAAAACCGCCGAACAGTGATGAAGGAAACGGAAATGATACGAGTAATGAAAAGACATCCCCTGGACACCGACTGGAAGAATTCTGTGAAAATATCCATACTACAAAAAGGGAGCTACAGATTTAACGCAATGCAATCCCTATCAAAATTCCAAAGTCGCTCTTCACAGAAACAGAAAAAAGAAACAAAATCTTAAGGCCGGGCCCAGGGGCTCAGTCTTGTAATCCCGGTATTTTGGGAGGCCAACAAGGAAGCCACACTTGAGCCCAGGAGTTCAAGACCAGCCTGGGTAACACAGTGAGCTCTCATCTCTACAGAGAAATCAAAAAATTAGCCGGGGTTGTGATGCACACCTGCAGTCCCAGTCACTTAGGAGGCTGAGGTAGAAGAACTGCCTGGGCCCAGGAGGTCGGCTATGATCCGTGCCACTGCACTCCAGCCTGGGCGACAGAATGAGACTCTGACTTAGAGAAAAAGAAAAGGCAATCCTTTTTTTTGAGTTAGAGTCTCACTCTGTCGCCCAGGCTGGAGTGCAGTGGCACACTCACAGCCACCGCAGCCTCGACCTGCTGGGCTCAGACGGACCTTCTGCCTCAGCCTTCCGTGTAGCCGGAACTACAGGCACGTGCTACCACGCCTGGCTGATTTCTGGATTTATTGTAGAGACAAGGTCTTGCCAAGTTGCCCAGGCTGGTCTTGAACGCCTGAGCTGAAGTAATCCTCTGGCCTCGGCCTCCCAAAGTGCTGGGGTTACAGGCTTGAGCCACTGTACCCAGCCGAAAAAGCAACCTTAAAATGCATATGAGGCCACAAAAGATCCCAAATAGCTAAAGAATGTTGACCAAAAAGTACGAAGCTGGAGGTATCCTATTACCAGATTTCAAAATATATTGCAAAGCTATAGTAATCAGAACAGCATGGCCCTGGCATAAAAAGACACATCGAACAATGAAACAGGATAGAAAGTCCAGAAATAAAAGGTCAGTTGATTTTCGACAAGTGTACCGAGAATACACAAGGAGGAAAAGGCCAGTCTCTTCAGTAAACCATGCTGGGAAAACTGGATATTCTCATGCAGAAAAGTGAAAATAGACCCTTATCTCAACCCGCACGCAAGATTCAAAATGAATTAAGGACTTAAATGTTAAGACTTGAAACTGTAAAACTCCTGGAAGAAAACGTAGGGAAAAGCTCCCCGACACTGGTCTGAGCAGTGACGTCCCGGATGTGGCCCCAGTAGCACAGGCAAGAAAGGCCAAAACAGACACAGGAGACTGCATGGGCCAAGCAGCGCCTGCGTAACCAAGGAAACCGCAGAGTGAAAAGACAACCCACAGCCTGGGAGAAACGGAGGTCAAGTGAGCGCCCCAGGCACAAAGTACACGAGAAAGGCAAAGCACTCAACGGCAAGAAAACCAACAGCTCTCTGGAGGGACGGGCAAGGACCCGAGCGGTCATTTCTCCAGGGAGGACACACAAGGGGCCAGCCCAGCGTCGTCTCCTGAGCCACGAGGGATCCGCGGGAGGGTGGCTGTGGCCTGGTGCCTTGCTTTGGTCCCTCCGAACCGGCCGAAAAGGGAAGCCCAGCTGGCACGGGCCTGAGGCTGCCCGCCCTGCTCACGAGGCT